GATGGCACGTGCCTGTAGTCCCAGCTACTCGGGAGGCTGAGGCAGGGGAATCGCTTGAACCTGGGCGGTGGAGGTTGAAGTGAGCTGAGATTGAGCCACTGCACCCAGCTTGGCGGCAGAGCAAGACTCCATCTCAAAAAACAACAACAGCAACAACAAACACACACACAGGCCAAGTGTGGGGTTCACGCCTATAATCCCAGCACTTTGGGAGGCCAAGGCAGGCGGATCACCTGAGGTAGGGAGTTCGAGACCAGCCTGGCCAACATGGAGAAACCCTGTCACTACTAAAAATACAAAATTAGCTGGGCATAGTGGTGTATGCCTGTAATTCCAGCTACTTGGGAGGCTGAGGCAGGAGAATCGCTTGGACCGGGGAAGTGGATGTCACGGTGAGCCAAGATCACACTATTGCATTCCAGCCTGGGCAGCAAGAGTGAAACTCTGTCTATAAAAAAAAAGTAAAAAGAAACAACACAGATCATAAAGAAGAAAGTTAAAAAATTTTAACTACAAAGGTTCTGTGCATTGGAAGATCCCATTAAAAGAGTGAAAAAAGTTAAATGGGAGAAGTTATTTGCAAAGCACTCACTAACAAAGGATTAGTATCCGTAATGTACAGTTGAGCCTTGGCCAACGTGGATTTGAACCATGAGGGTCATACAGGTTTTACAGGGCCCACAGCTGGACTTGAGTGTGCAGGGATTTTGGTGTCACAGGGATCCTGTGTCAAGGGACAACTGTATCAATTCCAAAATGTCATACCACTGAGTAGAAGTGTGGCTGTTCACAGAGGGCCGTTACAAGTAAATAAACCAGTAAACACGAAATTATGCCAAACTTCAGAGAAATGCAGTTTAAAACACCACAAGAGGTCTCACATGTCTCAGACTGATAAAAGGACCCAGAGCAGTAAGAGAGAGAGTGCTGTGGGGAGGGGTGCATGCTGGTTCATCCATTTAGAAAAATCTAGCAATGATGAAATACTCAAACTGTGACTCTACGTATCCCCTGTGAGGTATTGGCCCCCTGAGAGCTCTTGCACTTGGTTTTTGGAGACAGTATAAAAAGAGTTTTTACAACATGGTTGATTAGTCAAAACATTGGAAGGATCCTTAATATCAACACCAGAAAAGATAAGACAGAGCATTATGGTCATCCAGTGAGGCGAACACTGCAGAGAACTGCCTGGAACAAAGTGGATGAGTCTCTCAAACAATGGTGAGCAAAAAGCTAATTGCAGAAGAATGCATGAAGTATAATATTGCTTATGTAAGCTTAAAAACATTCAGAACAGCAATACTTTTTTTATAGGGACACTTATATGTGTAATAAAAAAGAAAATGCATGGAAATGCCAAATTCTTGTTAGAATAGTGGTTACCTGAGAGGAAAATGTGATTCTTTGAATCAGCGGTTAGCTCCTAGGAGATGAGTGGTGGGGAGAGATGCAGTGGAGTGTGTGGTGGGGTCTTAGCTGGACTTCCAATACTTTATTTCTTGGGGGCAGGGGTGGTCCTAGACATTGGTCATATTATTCTTTGTATATTTGCATGTCTGAAATAAATACATTGAATAAATGATCCAAAAAGAGGACAGAAGAGGAAAAGACTCTCTTCGTTGTTGTTTTTGGAGACAGACGGGAGCGCAATGGCACAATCATAGCTCACTGTAGCTTCGACCTCCTAGGCTTGGGTGATCCTTCCACCTTAGCCTTCTGGTCTTCTGAGTAGCTGGGACTACAGGCATGCACCTAATTTTTGTACATGGGTTTTGTACATGTAGATGGGTTTCACCATGTTGTCCAGGCAGGTCTCAACTCCTGGGCTCAAGCAATCCATCCGTCTCAGCCTCCCAAAGCGTTGGGATTATAGGTGTGAGCCACTTGCACCTGGCCAGAAAAGAATCTTGAAGGTTCTTTTCTAACCTCTAACCAGAGGTTAGAAAACAGGTCTTTGCCTATCTTCGGTGTGTCTTTACTAGACCAGGCACAGAACCTGCAAAGCTTCTAAATCGTTGGCTTTCTAACTGATAATTGACATCTGTGTAGCATGCTCTGCACTGGAGAACTCTTCAATCATTCTCTGTCCCTCTGCCACCTCTCGCCTATTCCACATGCCTAGAGGAATGTTTGAATTGGAATTATTTGTCTTTCTGACATTTTGTTGCAAACCCTACTGAGTTGAATTGGGTTATGAAAAGATAACATAGTATGAGTAAGATATTATGAAAACTATGCCTATTAAGTAAAGGAGGTCTCCATGCTCTTGCCTCTTGTCTTCTCTGATTGTTTAAAATCCCCACTTCATCTGTGACTCTTGACTCACCTATTCTTTAATGCACTTCTTGTTTGTGGTGATGTTTATGTGATGGTTTTCCATTCCTAGAGGGCAGAGCCCTGAGGGTTTTGTTCTGGCAGCCTTCAGGTGGCAGGGATCACACTTTGAAAGCTCAGGCCACAGACGGACAGCGCACTGCTGAACTGAACCCTTAGCTTGCTCACTGAAGTCCTGCACACAGGGCCTGGCTTCAGTGTGGCATCTGTTTGGCCCCACAGCCCTCTCCCTCTCTCTAGTCTCTGGTAACCCCAGGCAGGAACCTTGACTATTGGTTGCCAAAGGACCAAGCAAAGGGACGATCAAGTCAGAGGGAATGTATTAGTTACATAATTGCTGTTTGGAAGTATCCTGACAGGTTGGAATTTTTGGAATGAGTTTTACACAGTTTGGTATGGCTCAGTATTTTTCCAGAAGCATAGGTAGCCTGGGCCAAGTGGGAGGTTCCCCTAGTCTGTTAGGATTCACCCCCATTCCTCTTTGCATGAGAACAGTGTTTTCTTCCGAAAAGGAAAACGGAGGCTGTGACAGGCTCCCTGTGGTGAAGCCGACTAAAAGGTAAAGCAAAGGATTTTTACCATGGAAACACCTTAACCATGCCCAGGGGCCCTGGGGGTGGACTTGGTGCTTTACCATGCTACTTTTATAGCAGGTGGTAGAAGGAAGTGAGCTCCCTGCACTGGGCTGCGGGGCACGCAAAGTACCCATTGATGAATCCAGTGTTTACTTTGTTCTAGGCTGCTTTGTCATGACTGATCAACTTGGAGAAACCAATGTAGTTCAGTAAGGCATATGATTGACTACATAATTGATTAGAATTGGTTAGGAAAGTTGCCTCCTGTTAGGACATATTTTCCTGTGAGAAAACCATGTTTAACTTACGTATTTTTTTTCTGTTTTTTTGAGACGGAGTCTTGCTCTGTTGCCTAGGCTGGAGTGCAATGGCGTGATCATGGCTCACTGTAACCTCTGCCTGCTATATGTTCAAGCAATTCTGCCTCTGACTCCCAAGTAGCTGGGACTACAGGCACACACCACCATACCTGGCTAATTTTTTTTTTTTTTTTTTTTTTTAATTTTTAGTAGAGATGGCGTTTCACCATGCTGGCCAGGCTGGTCTTGAACTCCTGACCTCGTGATCCACCTGCCTTGGCCTCCCACAGTGCTGGAATATGCCACCACACCTGGCCTAACTTATATCCTTTTGCTGTTAGAGCAAAACCTGCCTGAGCTTAGGGTATTCAGCACAGCACCATGCTCTTGTAGACATAATATAAATAACATTTGGTGGTGATGCTGCTAGCAAATAATTCTCAATCCTATGTTTCTTAATTTTCTCTGTATTTATTTATTTATTTAGAGTCAAAGTTTTGCTCAAGGCCTTGTTGCCCAGGCTGGAGTGCAGTGACGTGATCATAGCTCACTGCAGCCTCAAACCCCTGGGCTCAAGCAATCCTCCTGCCCCAGCCTCCCAAGGACCTGGGACTACAGGCATGTGCTGCCAAACCTGGCTGAATTTTAAAATTTTTTGTGAGCCAGGTGCAGTGGTTCACACCTATAATCCCAGCACTTGGGAGGTCAAGGCAGGAGGACTGCTTGCTGCTAGGAGTTTGAGATCAGACTAGGCAACATAGTGAGACCCCATCTTTACAGAAACAAAAAACAAAGAAACAGGCATAGTGATACATGTCTATGGTCCCAGCTACTCAGGAGGCTGAGGTGGGAAGATTGCTAGAGCCCAGGAGGTTGAGGCTCTGGTGTGCAATTATTGTGCCACTGCACTCTAGCCTGGGTGACAGAGCAAGACCTTGTCTCAAAAAAAAAAAAGAAAATTTTTGTGGAGTCAGAGTCTTGCTCTGTTGCCCAGCTCGAACTCCTGGCCTCAAGCAGGCCTCCCACCTTAGCCTCCCAAAGTGCTGAGATTTTACATAAGAGCCACCACACCTGGCCCTGTTTTCTCTTTATGATGTACTGCCTCACCTCTCAACTCTGCCTACTGTAATGTCCCTTTCTTTGGCATTGCCACGTACCATGGTCCTTATTTCTCCTTCAGCTGGATAGCTTTGACATAAATGAATTTTATTTTCCATCATCTAGGTTAAGGGTGGCCGATAGGTTTCAACTCTTGGGCTATTTCCGATTAATTAATAATGGCTGCCTGAGTTCTGGGTTGGTAACATTCAGAGGCAAATCTGGCTCAGCAGGGAAGAATACTGATTGATTAGCAATGTCTGTGATGGGCACAGGGTTAGGGCTTAGGGCACTCAAAAATACTCATAAAAATGTTAAAAATCAAGAAACCTCTTAACACATCAGATTATGAATGGTGGTTATCTCTAGATGGTTAGGTTACAGGAGATTTTAATGTTCTTTTGATAATGTTCTATGTTTTCTACCTTTTTGATAGTGAACATGGATTATTTTAATGTGTAGGAAAAAATACTCAGCATCCTTTTGAAAAGGAAAGTGCTATTGGAGTGAAACCAGTGATTTGAATATGATATTAGTGCTAGCTTCTGTAGTTGCAGTGTACCTAGCAGCGGGGTGGTTTCACTGCCTTTTCCTTTCCTCTACTCTGGGAACTCCTCTGACCCTGGGCCATCATTCTTGCTGTGAGACAGAATGTGCGGCTGGCTGATTCATTTATCATCTTCTAATCGGGCAGGTCGAGGTGGTGCATCTATCTATGGCAAACAGTTTGAAGACGAACTTCATCCAGACTTGAAATTCACGGGTAAGTGTATAATTTGGCAGGACTGGGTAGGAAGGGGGATTTTAAAAGCTCAGTGCTCACTCTTTTGGCCATGATTCAAGGTGAATGCCTGACACCGTGGCATGGTGCCAGGAAGCTGCTCAGCCGTGGCGCCACAAAGTACCCTGGTGGATTAGAGAAAGTGGCACCTCTCACAAAGTTCTGAGCAATTCTGAGTGCTGGTCGGGGTGTTCTAGACTCTAACTACTTGTTAAACATCATAGGATATCAAAAGTATCCTCAAAGAAACAGGAAACCTTGGTAGGTTTTTGAGGGCAGTCAGGAACATGGTCCACAGTTAGCGAGGAACATCAGGGTTCAAGGCTGGGGATAGGTAAGGACAAGGAAGATGAAGTCGTCATAATAGTGCAGCGATGGCCATTGTATCGGGCAGAAAGCCTGCCCTAAGGGGTTGTCTGGGTCTGGACAGAGGCCAGAACAAAGTCCTGCCTGCTTTTTCATCACTAGAATAGGGCAGCAGCTCTACACCGGACCTGTAGGGTTATTCATACTCTTACATTTCTTCCTTTTTCCCACCAGGGGCTGGAATTCTCGCAATGGCCAATGCAGGGCCAGACACCAATGGCAGCCAGTTCTTTGTGACCCTCGCCCCCACCCAGTGGCTCGACGGCAAACACACCATTTTTGGCCGAGTGTGCCAGGGCATAGGAATGGTGAATCGCGTGGGAATGGTAGAAACAAACTCCCAGGACCGCCCTGTGGACGACGTGAAGATCATTAAGGCATACCCTTCTGGGTAGACCTGCTACCCTCTTGAGCAGATCTTCTGTGATGGCCCCAGTGGACAAGCTTCCTGATGACATAGAATGACATGTAATGCGAAATTTCATTTCGGCTTTGCAAATCATGAAGCTCAGGAAGCCTGGGGTCTTGGGTGAGTTAGAGATGGAAGTACATTTTAATAGGATGCTTCTTTTCTCTTCCCCCAGTGCCTAGGTTGACAGAGCATTTGCACAAATGCCCCTGTGTATCGATAGGTTGCTACTTACTTCAGATGACCCATAATGCCTCATCTTGTGCATGTCTGCTCTGATACACTTCAAACAAAATGTAGCAGACACTGTCATTTCTCAGTGGTTTTGCCTAACCAAACTTTTTCCTAAGGAGATTTATATTCTGGCCTACACTGCAGTCCTTGATGGCTGACAGCCATAGAATTCCAAACCAAGTAGTGTCGATTAGCCCTCTTAACTCTGTGCACACCCTATTTCAGCCTCTTACATTTGTTCTTCTAGGGAATGTATGCGTCTCTATATATATTTTCCCTCAAAACAAGAACATCAACACTGCTGTTTCTGATACTTAGACATCCCACGCAAAGCCACATTGAATTTTTGCCAAATGAAAAACGCTTCCAACAATCAAGTTTCTAAGGTGTCAAGCGGGGAATAATAATGTGTAATAATCAAGACATTAATTTATTAAAAGGAAGCAGAAGCATTGACCATCTTTTTCTCAGAGAAGAGGAGAAATCTGTGGTGAGCATAAGGACAGACTATGAACCTTCCTTAAGAAGTAGTCATCTCAGAAAGGAGAAGGGCCACTGAAGTTCTTTTAACCTAAGACTTTAGTGACATTAAGTCCAACATTTTTATATGTTCAGTTTTTTATGTATAAAAATAACTTTCTGGATTTTGTGGGGAGGAGTAGGAGAGGAAGGAAGTTAATACCTATGTAATACATGGACACTTCCAAAATAAAATGCCATTGATGGTTGAAATCGCTGCTGTGGTCTGATTCTAAATATTGTATGAGGTTCCAATGGCCATTTTAATCCCAGTCATTTAAGTAGTATTGCAGAGATCATATGTTCAAGATTTCACAGCATTGAAGACTTATGAATCTCCAGTGGACTTCCCCCTATTGAAGAGCAATTCTAACTCAAAAAGGGCAGAACCAGAGAAAGAAGTTAAGCGATATGAATTGACATTTCTGAATAAGGAGTGTATTAGTCCGTTTTCACATTGCTGCAAAGACACTACCTGAGACTGGGTAATTTATAAACAAGAGAGGTTTAATTGACTTACAGTTCCACATGGCTAGGGAGACCTCAGGAAACTTACAATAATGGTGGAAGGCAAAAGAGAAGCAGCCACCTTCTTCACAGGGCGGCAGGAGAGAAAGCGAGCACAGGGGAAACCGCCGTATTTAAACCATAAGATCTCGTGAGATCTCCCTCACTAACGTGAGAACAGCATGCAGAGGGAAAATGCCCCATGATCCAGTCACATCCCACCAGATCCCTCCCTTGACACAGAGGATTACAATTCGAGATGAGATTTGGGTGAGGACACAGAGCCAAACCATGTCAGGGGGATTACCTGTAAGCGAACCAGGTGGATGTGCTGAGAGACCTGCACCATCCCTGGAATTTGCAGAGGGCCCACCTGCACATTGTTATGGGACCAGCAGCAGTATGTCTTGTGGTGGTTGCTTCCTTAAGCTGGTAGCTCCTTGAAGAGGGGATTGCAACTTTAATATTTCTTAATACTCTGTAAATTTTGGACATGGTGATTTACTTTATGGAATGGTCAAACAAGGCTCTGTTCCCCAAGCCTTCCCTACCTTCAGCCTCTTTCTCTACCTTTCTCTTTTCTTTCAATAGCGAAAAAGCAAAACCCAACAACAAACTATATAAATGACTTCGTAAATTCCCAGAGATGGTTTTTATATTCAAAGTAAAGTTCTACACTCTGGAAAAATAGAAATATATTTATTTCAGCCTGAACTGGGTGGAGATACTTGGATCTGCCTCTGAGAGCAAGGAATAGCACCTGTCCACTAAACTCCCAGAATCATAATCCTGAAAAATCTCCACTTTCATCCAGGGCACAGGGGTGGTGGAAACATATCATTGCTACTCTGAAGCAAAGACGGTTCTGCATGTCTTGGGAAGAGAGCCACACAGGCACAGTTCCTTGTTTTTGGAAAGTGACACCAGACACATGCCAAGGCAGTCACGTGGGCATATGTCAGCTTTCACAGAGGATATAACCTCAAAGAGTGAAGCTTGAATTGTTTCCCAATTTGTCATCCTACCAATTAGTCACAGTTGTAGAAGTGTGTTTCCTTGTAAGGAGAGCTTGTCTAAAAGGAATCCTCCTTAACTCTTTGGTCATATGAGTGTCCACATCCTGTCAGGATTAGTACCATTGAAACAAGTCTCATAAAAGTGGGGTGTACTAGGGTTAGCTCATTTTGTTACATCTTAGATCAAGGTGAGGGTGGCTTATCAGAAGGCAAGGGTAAGTTTAAAACTTGGATGGGGATTATTGAAGATAGGTATAGGGGACTATGGGGTGCTCATCAAGGCACAGGAGAGAGAAAGTTCTGCCGCTTCCCACGTGGAACAGGAAAGAGATTCTAGACGTTTGGAGAAGGCTTAAAGTTGAGCCTGTAATCCCAGCACTTTGGGAGGCCGAGGCGGGTGGATCACGAGGTCAAGAGATCGAGACCATCCTGGTCAACATGGTGAAACCCCGTCTCTACTAAAAAAATACAAAAAATTAGCTGGGCACGGTGGCGCGTGCCTGTAGCCCCAGCTACTCAGGAGGCTGAGACAGCAGAATTGCCTGAACCCAAGAGGCGGAGGTTGCGGTGAGCCGAGATCGCGCCATTGCACTCTAGCCTGGGTAACAAGAGCGAAACTCCGTCTCAAAAAAAAAAAAAAAAGAAAAGTTGGGACTAGATAAGCCAGTAGAAAAGGCTTTCAAACAGGTCTCCTGGGATGACGGATAAGAAGCTTGGCACCCAGACTATAAAGTATGTGGCCCCAAGGGCCCTAGCCCAGGGCTTCTCACACTTGACCACACGTAGGAATCACTGAGGGAGCCTGTTTGTTAGGAAGCAGCTTCTGACTCAGCACTCAGCCAGAGAGTCTGCATTTTTCACAGCTCCCAGGAGACAGTGACTGCCGGTCCAGACACCACCCTTTGAGTAGTGAGATCCTAGAGGTCACATTTGTCCAACATGAAACTGGGGAGGGGGTTTTCCTAAGAGCAAGGGCAGTCAGGACCATGAGCTAATCTGCCTCCTGAAGCAGTGCTCTCCACCTCTTCCTGGTGGTCTTGGAAGAGGGAAGAGATTCAAAGCACAGGATGAGCTTTTACAGCTGCTGGCTTTGGCTACTAGGATTGAGCTTTATGAAAGCGTTCTGTTCCCACGGTAGTACAATGTGGACTTCAGACCCTGGTATGTGGCACTGAGATCCCCTGTGTGAACATGCGAACACCAGGGCGGGTAAGATTGTGTGGTCAGTAGACATGACAGGAAATGCAGGGAAAAGAGCTCTGGAACCTGACTAGTGGGTTCAGATCCCAGCTTCACCATTTACCAGCAGCATGAACTTAAATTTCTTAATTTCTCTGTGTTTTAGTTTCTTCCACTATAAAATGAGGATAATGGGCCTAACCTGAAGGGCGATTGTGATGATTAAATGAGCTAGAACAGGCATTTAAAACAGGAGCTAGCATTTAGAAAACACCCCCAAATGCTAGTTGTTATTACCAGTGGTCCTTGAAGCCACACACCTCTCCTGCCTCTTCATCTTGACGTATCCACAGCCTGACCTGTCTCAGCCTCTTGCCTCACAGCTTCTCCCTCCCACAGGGCTAAACTCTAAGAACAAGGACCTTGTCTTACTCCCCTCTGTGAGGCTTCCCAGCACCTTGTGTAGTACTTTGAGGTTATTGCTGAATGAATCAAATAAAATGTTCTCCATCAGAAAAAGATTGAGATCCTCTTGTAGAAATTAGCTGTACCCCAAATCTCCAAACCCAGGCCTCATCTGGTATGACAGCCAGGTCTTTCCACCAAGCTCTCTCGAAGTCCTCAGCCTCATGTATTTTTGGATGTGTCTCCAGAATATGTCAAAATAGCTTTCCCCACACAAACGATTGCTACCCCCAGATTCTCAAGCCAGTCAGAGCCGTCACTGGGGCCCCTTTTGGCACCATATTCTTGCAACATGTGGAGGAGGAAGCACTGAAAAGCATGCTGAAGCGGTGGAGTTTACTGCCTACAAAGAAGCACTTTGTGGTCTCAGAGTCCTGCTGCCTGAAGAGTTACTACTTTTTAGGTAAATACCAAGATAGGGGGTCTTCCAGCAACACCCTTACAGACGAGAGAAGCAAAGCTCAGGGAATAAAACCTGTTAGGGTCTCACGCTAAGGTTGGCTTGGCCTAATTTGGAAATTGGGTTCCTGGTTCTTCCGAACTCAAAATCCTTAATTTCATCAGAAACCACGGATGGCCAGTTGTGGGCAAGGTTTACGGACCGAGGGATGTGAGGCCTTTGTGTGACCTTGGATGAATCACTTTACCTCTGGAACTTGGAGTGCTTATTCATTAAGGGAAGATTTGAACTAGCCCCCAGTTTTGGAATCTGGGTCATTCTGAGAAGATCCCTCCAGCTGCCAAGCTTCCATTTAGCATGGTATTTTGGAAATTTGCCACTAGAGGCCACTGTGAATACAGTTTAGCCTTGCAGCTTTTGCAAAAGGCAGAAGCCTGCGGGAGGCTTTCAGGAGTTACTAAGACATGCCTGCTATTTCTTGGTTGTGGAAAGCCAGCAACTGCTCAGATTGCGAGAGGCTACAGTTGAGATGTCCACCTGGCACAGAATGAGGGTGTGAAAGTGCTCCTCCGTTGGCACAGGCTGGCTGGCCCTGTTTTTTGTCTGCGGGACTAGATGGAGGAGCCCTCCATGCATGGGAAGGTTGGCCAAGCCCTGTGACCCAGTCCTGGTTCCGTAACGTACCTTCTAAAGGACCACTTCCCTCTTGGCTGCTTACTATTCTGCTTTACAGCTGAATTCATTCAGCAAGTAATTTTGGAGCCCCTCTTGTATACCCAGCACCAGCAAATATTTTCATAGAGTCAGAGAAAGTCAACGAAAAGGAACCTTAAAGAAAAGCAAAAAGTTATTGTCCCTTCTGGGTTTCATGGTCTGTGGATGCTGCTTGTGAATGTTTTTCTCTTAATCTCCAAAACCAGCCTCCGACGTTGGTATTATTATGCCCATTCCTGGATGAGCAAACTGAAGACCAAAGGCAAGTAGCGCAAAGCCTTGTACAGACTGAATGAATGGAATAAAGGGCCAGGTCTTGCATGGTTAGTAAAAGGCAGGGCTAGGCCTTGAATATGGGGAATTTGAATCCCAAGTTCACCTCTTTTCCTGTGATCTCCACCTTTGACATACAAAGGAGGAAGATGAGGTGCAGGAAAAGAATAATCTGGTGGCAGGGCAGAGGTTAGAACCTAAATCTCCTGCCTTACAGGCGGGGGGTGTCCAACTGACTTCTCTATCCTAGAGTGTCCCCAGGCCGAGCTGGCTGGCTGGCCCTAGCCTCAGCTGTCTCCAAGCTCCTTCCAAGCAGAGCCTGTGCCAGGCCTGTGGAGGCGCAGCAGGAGGGAGGGCACACAAATGACCCTCATCAGGATGTTTATTGGATCATAACTGTACTAGCCTCACCACTCAGCTAATCTCATAGAAATCACTTTCCTCTTTGTGAGGATCTGGCCACGGCCCCATTAAGAGCTTCTGCCCTGCATACCTGCAAAGGAAGCTGTTGTGCAGCAGAAATAGTGGGGAGGAGAGGGAAGTCATATTCTACTTCCTCATTACATTGACAGGGGCAAGTGGGAATTTCACATTCACTGTGTAAGAAAGGCCTTCAAAGGGAAGGGAGTCCAAAGTTCATTATTTTAGGGGCAACATTTAGCC